CCACAGCCTGGGTAAGAGCCTGCCACTGGACCTGTGCCTTTGGGTGGTGGGAGGAAGGGGGCTTGTGTCTCCCCCTGCTCAGCCCCTCCTGCATTTGCTAATTGAACCCACAAGTGCGAGAAGCCCTCTGAGAGGCAGTTGCTGTTCTCACGAGAGTGCCTGCTCAGTGGTCGCCCAGCCCCGTCCTGCTGAGTTGGAGCCTGTGTTGAATCCACAGTGGATCCACAGAGGTCACCAGGCAACCACAGCAACCCAGCACACAGCAGGAAGTGTTTGTCCCTTGGGTGTGGGGACACGATGAGGGAAGGATGCTGGGAGGGTGTTGTGCACAGAGGAGGCTGGGTTGGTTAGAGGTCACCTGAGTGGAGGCAAACAGGGCTGAGGAGCCCAGGCCTTAGAAGTCTGGGGACAGTTTTCTATGCAAATGCCCTCTGCAGACACTAGGATGTGAGCCTGCTGCCTGGGTTGCTGTATGAGCCTGACTCACAGCCCAGTCCTGATCCTCCATCAACCCCTGAGCAGCTGAGATGCTGTGCAGCATCCACCACCTGGTTGTGAACATGATCAAGAGAAACAGAGGGGATGAATATAATCACAGCACGTTAAATGCATGTAGGGAGGTGTGCACTTTGGTTACATGCTTATACGGTCTGAGTTACTGTATATATTAATACATACAAAAACCAACAAAAAGAGCAGAGGGATGGCTCAATGATGAGTGCCTGCCCGAGAATGCAGCAGATGCTCACTTCAAAACCCTACTACTCACTAGAAAAGCCCAGGAAACACGAAGACCAGATGAGACCCCTTCCCCATGGGAAATGCTGTGTGGAGAGAGACATTGACAACCATATCACTAACTCCTGAGCCCTGAGAGCAGTTCCCAAGCCTGGAGGGCTCATTGTTTCCCGGCCACAGGTCCCTCCTGGAGGCCTGGGGTCCCTTCACATCCCTCTCATGGCCACTTCCTACCTACATCCACAGTCCCAAGTTCAGGGTCCTGCTTTGGCTGTCAATCAGGGGCAGAGGCGTTTCCTGCAGGCCGTGCTGTGCAGCCTGGGTCCCCGTGTGGATCACTGGACACAGGCCCTGCGTGTGGGCTGGGGTGGAGGGCAGAACACACAGCCTTCTTCTCCCTGGGGCAGGAGCTCACTACCAAGGCTTCTCCCACAGGTCCCTGCTGAGCAGCGTCCACTTCCTGCTGTTGGTCTTTCTGGAGCTGCCCCTGCTGCTGGGCATGCTCAGTGCGGTCCTCTGGGTGAACAGGCCTCTGAAGATCCCAAAGCAGCAGGTGGAGTAAACCGGATTCTGAGCACCAGTGACATCTGTGGCAGCTACGTGGCCCCTTGGGGATAGAGACCACCACCTTCTGACCGGCAGATCTGTGTTTCCTTCACAATACTCTACACCTTCCAGAAATATCTGGGAAATGTCTTCTTGTGTTATATCAAATATATAAAAGAATATGTCTAATAAATAACATCTCTTTTAAAACAATAAGCCTCCTCCACACCCATGTGTTTTTATCAGGTTAAATAATAGAATGTGTCAATACTAACAAACCTCTTTCTGATTTCCTGTGCCTGCTTCCTGCCCTCTTCCACAGAACCGACTCTGTCTTCCATGATCTTCATGCTACTTTACTGAAAGGTTTTTTCTATGGACATGACACATACATGTGCACCATGTTAGCTTGTTTATTTTGTGTAAAATTTCCCCCCATCCCTACTAGGGAACAAACTGAAGATTTCACTCATCATGTTAAGCCAGTATCCACCACTGAGCTGCCTCCAATCCTTATACCTATAACTTGCCAACCTTCCTTCCTTCCTTCCTTCCTTCCTTCCTTCCTTCCTTCCTTCCTTCCTTCCTTCCTTCCTTCCTTCCTCCCTTCCTTCCTTCCTATCCTTTCTTTTTTTCTGTGCCAGTCCTAGAACTTGAACTTAGGGCCTAGGTGATTTCCCCTGAGGGTTTTTCCCCTCAAGATTAGCACTCTGCCACTTGCTATCGCTCTATTTCCAGCTTTTTGGTGGTTAATTTGGAGACAGGTGTCTCAAGGATTTTCTAGCCCAGGCTAGATTCAAACCACAGTTCTCACATCTCAGCCTCCCACTGAGATAGAATTATAGGCATGAGCCACCAGCTCCCAGATTAAGATTTTTTTTTCAGGGTGGGGAAGGGGTGGTGGGGAAGAGAAGGGACTGGCAGTGGGGTCTGTTGTGGGGCTTGTACTCTGGGCCTGGGCGCCGTCCCTCAGCTCTTCAGCTCAAGGCCAGCACCCTACCACTTGAGCCACCGCGCCACTTCTGGTTTTCTGGTGATTAATGGGAAATAAGAGTCTCATGGACTTTCCTGCACGGGCTGACTTTGAACTGAAATCTTCAGATGTCAGCCTCCTGAGTAGCTAGGATTATAGGTTCGAGCCACTGGTGCCTGACTAAGATATTTCATTTTTGAAACAGATCCCCAAATTAAACTTTGGGCTCCTTTTGCTATTATACAGTCGACAAATATTTGCTCAGCAGCTGAGGCAAATGCTTTAGCAGCATGTTGGAAAATCAAATGAAACTCCTTAGAAAACAAGGCATGGACTGGAGAGAAGGCTGAAGTGGAAGAGTGCCTGAACCAGCAAGTGCAAGGTCCTGAGTTCAAACTCCAGTACCACCGCCATTGACAACAACAGAAAAAAGAAAAGCAAATGCAACAAAACAAACACATCTATAGGAAACAAATATTCATCTACTGTCCATGGAAACCCAGTTAGGTGTGATTTCCATCTTCTGACCATCCATATTTTCTGCATTTGGGCAAAGACACGGCGACGTTAGCAATGTTCTGTTATCAAGTTAAGAGTCTTCTCCACCCCCGCCCCACCTCCAATCCTGCCATTCAAGCTACACTTGTGTCTCACAGCTACGCACTGGTACTAGCAGCAGCACAGGCTGCTGAGTGAAGCTCCGTCAGCTCTCCTGACACAAGCCATAAGCAGAGCATGGCCATGCTGCTCTCCACTTGAGGCAGGAGGCCCCGCTCCCAGTCTAGCCACACCAGTCGCCATATTGGTCATGACATCACATGACAGAGAGTAGGCCTCTGAAACCCACTGACAACACTCACACACGTGCATTTCTCTGCATCACAGCATTCAACCATCCATCTGAGCCAGACCATCACTGTTGGCTCCATTTGCTGGGTGAGTAATTCTCCTCAGCTGGCCTTGGTCCCTTCTGCAGTTGGAGCTTTCCCTATGCAATCAATGCAATGAAATATAATCAACGACCATGGATTCCTTCACTCATGAAATTCAACTCATCTTCATCATCAGAGCCATTCTGTCCTTCAACACGATTTTTTTTTTAATCAATGATTATAACTCATCATCTGCCAATGTGGAAGGTGATACCACATGGTATCTGACTGGCTCAGCTAGGATTCTCACTCCAGAGTCTGATAGAAGGTTTTTTTTTTTTACCAGGTCTGGGTTGATCATACTGGTGATTACTTTCAATCTAAACTTTGCATCTTCTGATCTTGGAAGCTACCTTCCATATCAAGCAGATACATACATAAATCGCCTTAGTTCCTATATTAAAGATGCAGTTGACATCAGAGATTTCAGGTACAGCTACACCAGTGTGGAAGCTTGTCAGGAACTAATGATCTCCTAAGCAAGGATGAACTTTTTGCTACTCAAGTATAGCACTGTACCACTTGAGCCACAGTGCCACTTCCAGCTTTTTCTGTTTATGTGGTATTGAGGAATGGAGCTAGGGCTTCATGCATGTAAGCCAAGCACTCTACCACTGAGCCACATTCCCAGCCCCTGTCCTTCATTTTATTAACCTGCTGTTATTATGTCTATCCTTTTCAGTTTGTTGACCCTTCTTTACTGGAATAAAATCAACTTGACCATGGTATGTAACCTTTTTTTTTTTTTTATCAGGTCCAGTAGTGGGGCGTGAACTCAGGGCCTGGGCGCTATCCCTCAGCTCTTCAGCTCAAGGCTAGTGCTCTACCACTTGAGCCACAGTGCCACTTCTGGCTTTTTGCTTTTTGCTTATGTGGTGCTGAGGGATCGAACCCAAGGCCTCATGAATGCAAGGCAAGCGCTCTACCACTGAGCCACCTTCCCAGCCCACCACAATCTTTTTAATCCTACGCTTCCTCTGGCACATCCAGCCATCCAAAAAGAGACCTGGTAAAGGGCAGAAAAGGACTTGCTGGGTGGCAAGGGAGCTGCAGGCAGCAGCCCTGTCTTAGGGTGCAGGTATGAACTATAGCTTTAAATAAAAAATTGGGGGAGCAGGGTGCTGGTGGCTCCTGACTGTATCCTAGCTATTCAGAAGGCTGAATGTAAGGAGGTTTGAAGCCAATCTGGGCACATTAATTAATTAATTACAAAGGGTCAATGGGTCCTTGCTCAGGTCCATTGGGGACATCACTGGAAGGAAGGTCAAAGTCTTCCTGAGAACCTTCCTGACAAACAGATCATTCATCCCAAACCAGACACCAGTGATGGGTCCTAAGGACACTGTGCTAACTTGGGAGGGTGGGGGTGGGGAACAGACCCAGAGCTGGGACTCCTGGGACGGGAGCTCTGCTGGAGGCCTCATGGTGGGCACTGCAGGCTGGGCCCTGCCCAGGGGCCAAGGCTCTGCTTGTCCCTCCACAGGGCTGCCAAACTGATCACAAGGAAGCTCAGTACCAACCAGAGAAAATCTGTCCCTCCTGTTCAAGGGTATCCTGACAATGGGGAGCAGACCTGTGAGCTCGGGGGTGGGGGGTGGGAAAGAGACCCTAGGAGGGTGAATTCTCACCACTGGGACATACCTTAGTCTTGTCCACCAACCTGGGGTCCTCTCCTACGCTGAGGCCTTCTTTTATCTGCCTCCAGCATCCTGAGCCCACTCAGCTTCCTCTATTTTTTCCTCAGGTTCTTGAACAGAATCAAAAGAAGCCAAAAAGGAAACAGCATAAGAAAAGCAGAAGTTGGAGGCCTGGGGATGCGCCCAGCCCAGAGCGGGCTGAGATCCACTAGTGGCTTGACCTGGCTGCCAGTGGCCTCAGGGGGAAAATGACCCCATGGACCCTGGCTGTGTGGCTGCCTTTGAATCTGCTGCTTCTCTGGCTCCCAGGTGAGGGGTCTTCTTCTCAGGTTGGGGACAGGAGATGGAGGAGGGCAGGAAGGAGGGGGGAGGCTGTAGGGAGATGTCTCATGAGACACTCAAGCCTGGACTCCTCTGTCCACACAGAGTGCTGTACTATGACCATCATATGGGAGGGACTGGCTGAAGGCCTCACCCCTGGCAGGGAAGGGGCCAGGGCACCCTGACTTTGGATGCACTCCGGTTGGAGGCAGGGCGGAGTGGGAGCAGTGGAGGGGCATGGGGGAGGGGAAGGTGTGTCAGCTGGGTGGAGAGTGGCCAGGCCCAGACACCTGAGTGCTGCATTTGGGGAAGGTGCCTCTGGGTCACCAGTTTTGGGGTGTAAGAGGAAGGCTTGGGATGGGAAAGAAGGTCTCATTCTCTGCTAGGCAGGTTCTGCCAGGGCGGCAGACAGGCTACAATGGAGGGACAGGAGTCTGGTGTGGAGGACCAGAGATCAGCTGTCTCCACAGAGGGGAGATGGGGCTGGGGAGGGGACAGGTGGCAGAGCAAGTGGAGAGACTTTCAGGAAGACAGAGGGTGGAGGCATCCTGTTCTGAGCCCTCCTTCACAGGCTCCTCAAACAGTGCTGCTGTCCTGTTGGACTAAATTCTAGAATTTCTTTGTGGCATGCTAGGAATCCAGTCTTTTCCCCCTGCTGCCCTCCATTTTTTGTGTGTCAGTACTGGGGCTTGAACTTAGAGGTTCTTGCTCTTGTTTGACTCTGTTTTGCTTAAGGCTGGTGCTCTACCACTTTAATCATAGCTCTATTTCAGGTTTTTTGGTGGCTAATTGGAGATAAGAGTCATAGATTTTCTTGTATGGGCTGGCTTTGAACCTCAATCCTCAGATCTCAGCCTCCTGAATAGCAAGGATTACAGGCTTGAGCCACCAGTGCCTGCCAGTTAAAAGTTTTAAGACCTCATCTTGACCAGTGAAAAGCTGAGTTGGTTGTATACTGCTGTCAATGCAGGGGAAGTAATAAATAGGAGGATCACTGGGTGACAGGAGCACAAATGCAAGAATAACCTACACCAAAAATCACCAAAGCAGCAGCGACAGGACAGAAAAACCAGGAGAGAGTGAGGGAATGGGTAACATTGTGCAAAAAGACACATGCTCATGCTGGGCACCGCTGGCCCAGGCCTGTCACCCTAGCTACTCAGGCGGCTGAGAACTGAGGATCATGGTTCAAAGCCAGCCTGGACAGGAAAGTCCATAAGACTCTTCTCTCCAAATAACCACCAGAAAACTGGGTGCTGTGGCTCAAGGGGCAGAGCACTAGCTTTGAGGTGAAGACCTCAAGGAGAGGGCCCAGGCCCAGGGTTCAAGCCCCACAACTGACCAACAAAAGAAAAGAAAGAAAGTAAAATACTCATTACCTGACTTGTGTGACTGTAACCCCTCTGTATATCACCCTTAGAATAACAATTTAAAAATCTATAAAAAGAAAGACATTAAGTAAATGGGCTGTGGCTGTGGCCTAAGTGGTAGAGTCCCTGCCTTACAAGTGGGAGGCTCTGAGTTCAAACCTCAGTATTGCCCATTCCACGTTGGTGAAATGAAAGAATTCCAACCTAGGTTAAGAGAGGGAAGCACATGGACCCCATACCTGATGACAGGACCTCTCGAGGGTCCCAGGAGGACAGACACACAGCCATGCCTCAGCCGGGCATATGGCCATCCCAAGGCTAGCTCCAAGCTCCCTGATCGGGGGCAGCATTAGCTTCATGTCAACATGCTCCCAGCTTTGTGTCTGAGAACTGTTAGGGAAAACGGCAGACATAATATTGGCCACCAAAAATGAGCCTCAATCAGGGGCCAGTGGCTCACACTCATAAGCCTGGCTATTTAGGAGGCTGAGATCTGAGGATGGTGGTTCAAAGTCAGCCCAAGTTCAAAAGTTCCCAAGACTCTTATCTCCAATTAATCATCAGAAAACCTAGAAGTGAAGCTGTGACTCAAATGGAAGAGCATGAGTCTCGAAAAACAAACGAAACGAAAAGTCATAGCATCTAGGCCCTGAATTCAAGACCCTGTAATGGCACAAAACAAAGAAGGAAGGAAAAAAGGGAGAGAGAAGGAAAGGCACACAGGAAGGAAGAGGGAGAGAGAGAGAGAGACCAAGAGAGCAAGAATGATCTTACCTGAAAATTAAGTGCAGCAGATCTGGGCCAGCTGAGTTGAGTCTAGGTGAATGAGGGTTATTGTCACTGAGTCCTGCACTTATAATATAATCCTAATCAAGGGGCTGGGAAGGTGGCTCAGTGGTAGAGTGCTTGCCTCGCATGCATGAGGCCCTGGGTTCGATTCCTCAGCACCACATAAGCAGAAAAAGCTGGAAATGGCATTATAGCTCAAGTGGTAGAGTGCTAGCCTTGAGCTGAAGAGCTGAGGGACAGCGCCCAGGCCCAGAGTTCAGGCCCCACAACTGGCAAAAAAATAAAATAAAATAAAATAAATAATAATCCTAATCAATTGTGAGCATAGCCCTTGTGAAAAAGGCCACGCTGGTCAGGTCCTATGGCGGACACTTACAATAATAGCTATTCAGGAGGCTGAGATCTGAGGATCACGGTTTGAGGCCAGTTCTGGCAGGACAGTTCTTGAGAGTCTTAGTCCAATAAACTACTCAAAAAAGCTGGCAGTGGTGCTGTGTCTCAAGTGGTAGAGTGCTCACCTTGAGGAATAGAAGCTCAGGCTGCAGTGCTGAGGCCCAGAGTTCAAGCAGCCAGATCTGCACAACAAAACAAAAGGCCTTCCTGCTTGGGTGTGGCTCTCCTTCCCTCAGTGTGACCAGATAAGTCTGTGGTGTCTAATGGGGGAGGGGCAGCATGTGTGAAAGCAGGGTGAGGACACTGGGAGACTGAAGCTAAAGGAAGACACTTCTGGGTCTAACTCTTGGTGTGGTAGAGTAGTACAAAGGGGCTGATCTGGCTAGGATCCCTACTCCCACCCATCTGTGAGGGCCAGGAGCTGGAGCTTATATTTTCCAGGCTGCTGTCTTCTGAGAGGCCCCAGCAGAGTGACAGGCACCCAGGGCGGATCCCTGAGCCTGCAGTTCTGGTATGAGGAGAAATACAAGACATATAACAAATACTGGTGCAGAAGCTCACGTGTGCTAAGACGATGTGAGAATACTGTGGAGACCAAAGACTCAGAGAGAGAAGTGAGCAGAGGCAGAATGTCCATCAGTGACCATCCTGAGAACCTCACCTTCACTGTGACCTTGAAGAACCTCTCTCTGGAGGACACAGGCTCTTACTGGTGTGGGATTCATATACCTTGGCAAGAAGAACTGGATGACTACTTCCAGGTTGCTGTGTTTGTGCTCCCAGGTGAGTCCCTCTCCTACCAGCACTGGGGCTGCCACAGGTGGGAAAAGCTGGGGGAGGAATCAGATCAGAGCCTGGGAGTCATTCTCTGTGTGTGTGTGTGTGTGTCTCTGTGTGTGTGTCTGTGTCTGTGTGTATATGTATGTGTGTCCACAGGCACAGTGGAGCACCTGTTTTACTCAAGACCCTCTGTACAGCCAACTGACAGTCTCAGGCCTGAACACCTCCTGGGCGGGGAAGAGGCACTGGTCATGACTCCTTGATCCTTAACTGCCTTTCTGGCCTGAGGAGGGCCTTGTCCTTTCTGGAGTGTGGGGAGGGGGTGGAGGGGGTAGAGGAACAACCCTGTCTTCTGGTGGGAACAGGACTCCAGGACTTCCCTTCCCCTCTATCAAAGGCCATCTGAGTGGACTCCACTGCCCTGTGGCTCCTGAGATCCCAGCCTCCCCGCAGTGGTTGTTGTTAGGTTTTTAAAAAGAGGTAGCTGAGTAAGAACAGCACCAGCATGCACGTGGTATTCAGGTAAGGGGGAGGTTTATTCAGTAGACCTGCTGGGACCAGGCAAGGTTGGCACTCCACGTGGCTGGGAAAGGCCTGGGAATGAGAGAGAGCTGGGAAAGAGAGGAAAGAGAGAGGAAAGAGCTAGAGCAGAGAGAGCTAGAAAAAAAAAACAGCAAGAGGGCTTCTGGGCCTGGGCTAAGGCCTTATCTAGGGTATGGGCAGAGAAAGGTGTGGTCACATCAAATTCAGATGTGACCTCAGCGGATGCAGATGTGACCTCTTCCAGGGTCCCAGTTGCCTAGGTAACACAGGTACTGGGTGGAGACTTTGCTGCGAGGAGGGTGGAGTCTGCTAGCCATCCAGGAGCGGACCTTACAGTTGTGGGACTCCTGAGTGAGCTCCGCAGGACACAGGAGGAAGCTGCTCAGACAATCATTGGGTTTCCTGTTCCCTCCAGGAAGCTTGCCCTGCCTCTGCAGGATGACCGTCCCCGCTTTCCCTGGCACCTTTACTGTCCAGTACCTCCACTCAGGCAGGGGCACAAGTGGCAAAGATGAGACACGGGCTCCTGGCTGTTGCAGACTGCAGGACTCCATGACTGCAGCCAACTCTTCCTGCATGGCGCCTCCATTCTGTTGGAGTTAACTCCAAGAGAAGGGTCCGGGCTGGCCTTGGGGCTGTAATGCTGTTCCTCAGAATCCTGCTTCTGGGTTTCAGTCTCCCCAGCATGAAGGTTTTCCTCCCACACTGTGGGTCCATATGGAAGAGTAAGAAACTACAACCCCACCAATGTCTCTGGGTCTCTGAAGGGCAAAGGTGTTGTCCTACTGGCCACCGGCTCCAACAGATGTCTTTCTAGAATTTTCTTCCTGGCCACTTCCTCTGGAGGGAGGTATGCAGTGGGTGCTAAGGCCCTAGGCCTGGCTAACAGAGGGGGACAGGGAGGTGTGGACAGGGTGCTGTCGATCTGTGTGGCCCCACTGACCGACCAGGCTCTCTTTTGAAGCCATTTGCCTGGCGTCAGGCACCAGCAACCCCAGTTATTCTAGGTCAGGGTTTGCACAGTAGACACCAAGCAGAGTGGAGGAGGAGGAAGGGAGAGGCATGCCTCTGGCTAGATGAAACCAATAGTTTCCCCTCCTCTGCTTTCCTCTCCTCTCCTCTCAATTCTTTCCTCTCCTCTCTTCTCCTGTCCTTGTTTTCTTCCCTGTCCTCCCCTTACCTCCTGCCCTACCTCCCACTTCCCTTCTCCTTATACCAGTCCTGGGGCTAGAACTCAGTAACTTGTACTCTCACCTGGCTTTTCCTACTCATGGCTGGCAGTTTACCACTTGCACCACAGCTCCATTTCTGAAATTTGGGGGATTAACGTTGGGTAACAGTCTCTTGGAGGGCTGGGAAGGTGGCTCAGTGGTAGAGTGCTTGCCTCACATGCATGAGGCCCTGGGTTCAATTTCTCAGCACCACATAAACAGAAAAAGCAGGAAGTAGCTCTGTGGCTCAAATGGTAGGGTGCTAGCCTTGAGCTGAAGAGCTCAGGGATAGTGCCCAAGTCCAGAGTTCAAGCCCAACAACGCACAACAACAACAACAACAACAAAAAGAGTCTCTTGGATGTGTCTGCCTAGGGTGGCTTTACACCTCAATCCTCAGATCTCAGCCTCCTGAGTAGCTAGGAGCAGAGGCGGGAGCCTTGCCAACACTGTCTTTTCAAGATGCTTAACCTGTCCTGCCTAGAAAGACAGTGCTCCTGTCTGAACGTGGCCAGTGCACCTTTACATGTGGCTAGAGGGGGCAGCTGGTCGGCCCTGGGTGTGTCCAGGGAGTTCACTGGCCCTGGGACACCTGTGTGGCTCGCCCCAGGGGACCTGACTGTGTGAGTCAGAGCGGCAAAGCCCAGTGAGGACTGAGACAGAGCATGGGGTCCCTGAAACTGCCTGTGCTTCACCTGACCACAGCCTCCAGTTCCAAGAACAACAGGAGCACCCTGAGGCCTCCCACCCTGGAGCCTCCACCAAAGGGGCCAGGCACCACAAGGAAGGCCATGCCAACCCCCAGCCCACAGCCTGGGTAAGAGCCTGCCACTGGACCTGTGCCTTTGGGTGGTAGGAGGAAGGGGGCTTGTGTCTCCCCTGCTCAGCCTCTCCCGCATTTGCTAATCCCACTCCTAAGTGTGAGAAGCTCCCTGAGTGGCAGTTGCTGTTCTTAGGAGAGTGCTTGCTCAGTGGTCCCCTAGCCCCGTCCTGCTGAGATGGAGCCTGTGCTCTCCCAGTTGGATCCACAGAGGGACAAATCAGGGAAGAAGTCACCAGGCAACTGCACAGCAACCCAGCATGCAGCAGGAAGTGTTTGTCCCTTGGGTGTGGGTACACGATGAGGGAAGGATGCTGGGAGGGTGTTGTGCACAGAGGAGGCTGGGTTGGTTAGAGGTCACCTGAGTGGAGGCAAACAGGGCTGAGGAGCCCAGGCCTTAGAAGTCTGGGGACATTTTTCTATGCAAATGCCCTCTGCAGACACTAGGATGTGAGCCTGCTGCCTGGGTTGCTGTATGAGCCTGACTCACAGCCCAGTGTAGATCCTCCATCAACCCCTGAGCAGCTGAGATGCTGTGCAGCATCCACCACCTGGTTGTGAACATGATCAAGAGAAACAGAGGGGATGAATATAATCACAGCATGTTAAATGCATGTAGGGAGGTGTGCACTTTGGTTACGTGCATATACGGTCTGAGTTACTGTATACATTAATACATACAAAAACCAACAAAAAGAGCAGAGGGATGGCTCAATGATGAGTGCCTGCCCGAGAATGCAGCAGATGCTCACTTCAAAACCCTACTACTCACTAGAAAAGCCCAGGAAACACGAAGACCAGATGAGACCCCTTCCCCATGGGAAATGCTGTGTGGAGAGAGACATTGACAACCATATCACTAACTCCTGAGCCCTAAGAGCAGTTCCCAAGCCTGGAGGGCTCATTGTTTCCCGGCCACAGGTCCCTCCTGGAGGCCTGGGGTCCCTTCACATCCCTCTCATGGCCACTTCCTACCTACATCCACAGTCCCAAGTTCAGGGTCCTGCTTTGGCTGTCAATCAGGGGCAGAGGCGTTTCCTGCAGGCCGTGCTGTGCAGCCTGGGTCCCCGTGTGGATCACTGGACACAGGCCCTGCGTGTGGGCTGGGGTGGAGGGCAGAGCACACAGCCTTCTTCTCCCTGGGGCAGGAGCTCACTACCAAGGCTTCTCCCACAGGTCCCTGCTGAGCAGCGTCCACTTCCTGCTGTTGGTCTTTCTGGAGCTGCCCCTGCTGCTGGGCATGCTCAGTGCGGTCCTCTGGGTGAACAGGCCTCTGAAGATCCCAAAGCAGCAGGTGGAGTAAACCAGATTCTGAGCACCAGTGACATCTGTGGCAGCTACGTGGCCCCTTGGGGATAGAGACCACCACCTTCTGACCGGCAGATCTGTGTTTCCTTCACAATACTCTACACCTTCCAGAAATATCTGGGAAATGTCTTCTTGTGTTATATCAAATATATAAAAGAATATGTCTAATAAATAACATCTCTTTTAAAACAATAAGTCTCCTCACACCCATGTGTTTTTATCAACTTAAATAATAGAATGTGGTCAATACTAACAAACCCCTTTCTGATTTCCTGTGCCTGCTTCCTGCCCTCTGCAGACAGAACCAGCCCTGAGCTCCATGATCTTCATGCTATTTGCCTCAAAGGTTTTTCTAAATACATATTATATACGTGTTTACCCAGGGTGTGTTTTTTATTTTGTTTATATTTGTGGTTTATGTAAACAAATTGTACTTTCCTCCTCCCCCCCGCCCCCCCACAGCGCTAGGGATCAAACTCAAGGTTTCACAGATTGTTCTAAGCCAATTTCCACCACTGAACTACCTCCAGTCCTTACAGCCATTTCCGTCCTTCCTGCCTTCCCCTTCCTTCCTTCCTTTCTTCTCTCTTTTGAACACAGGTCCTAGGCACTGTCGTTGGGGTGTTTTTGTTTGTTTTTCTCAAGGTGAGCACTCCACCACTTGAGCTATAGCTCTATTTCCAGCTTTTTGCTGGTTAATTGGAGATAAGAGTCTCATGGATTTTCCTACCCAGGCTAGCTTCAAACTACAACTCTCACATCCCAGCCTCCTGAGTAGCTAGGATTACAGGCATGAGCCACTCACTCTCAGCTTAAGAGACTTCATTTTTGAAACAGATCCCCACACGAATACTTCTGGCTTGTTTTGCCATTATACAATCTACCAATATTTGCTCAGCAGCTGAGGCAGATGCTTTAGGAGCATGTTGGAAAATCAAATAAATGTGCTTAGCAAACAAGGCATGGACTGAAGATGAGGTCAAAGTGGTAGAGTGCCTGCCCTAGCAAGTGAAAAGTCCTGAGTTCAAATCCCAGTCCCACCACCACCAACAACAACAACAAAAGATGGAAAAGCAAATGAAACAAAACAAGAAAATCCATAGAAAACAAATACTCAAATAGTTTCCACGGGAGCACAGATAAGTGTGATCCCATAAGTCAGCAAAGTTGGCAGTAGTTAAGTGGTTCCTCCAATGCTTCAATTCAAGCTACACTTGTGCCTCGCAGCTATGCGTTGGTACTAGCAATAGCACAGGCTGCTCAGTGAAGTTCCATCAGCTCTCCTGAAGCTAGGAGCAGAGCACGGCCATGCTCCTCTCCACTGTGGCAGGAGGCCACACTTCTGGATTTGCTGCATGAGTCGCCATATTGGTCATGACTTCGCATTACAGAGAGTGGATCTCTGCAATCCACTGAAAGTAGAAGAGCCTCACTCACACATGTGCATTTCTCTCCATCACAGCACACCACCATTGGATCCAGACCATCACTTCTTGGCCCCATCTGCCGGGTGAGTAATTCTCCTCACCTGGCCTTGGTCCCTTTTGCAGTAGGAGCTTTCTATGTGCAATTAATGCAATGAATTGCAATTGATGCCCCATGGCCTCCTTCATTCATGAAATACACAAATGTTTGTTCACTCAACTCATCTTCATTATCACAGACACTCTGTCCTTCAATACAATTATTTTAGCAATGATAGTAACCCGTTATTTGCTCCCATGAAAGGCAATATCACACAGTATCTGCCTGGCTCAGCTAGGATTCTCACTCCAGAGTCTTTTTTTTAACCAGGTCTGGGAATCACACTGGAGGTTCCTTTTTAATCTAAGCTTTACATCTTCTGATCTGGGAAGCTACCTTCCATTTCAAGCAAATACATGCTTAAATCACCCTTAGCCCCTATATCAAAGACACCGTTGGCATCAGAGATTTCAGGTACAGCTACCCAACATGGAAGCAGAAGGCGTCCTTGGCTATATGCAAAGGTACCATGCCATGGATGCCTAAATTGGCAAGGGCTACTTAGGCACAGTGCAGAGGCATGCACAGGATAACCGTGGCCCTGGCCTCTGTCCTTGACCCTTCTCCCAACCCCCAGAGAAGAAGATAGCTAGTGTCCTCAAGGATGTCAGCTTAAGAGCTTGTTCAGCTCAGGCTTGTTCTTCGATGACAATGATACCTGCCTCGTGTGAGAGAAGAGACTGGCGTACTCCTCGCTAGTTATTTACAAAGTTCACGACCTTTCCTACTGTATCACACTGCGTAATAAGAAAGCTGCTTGGGGAAAGATCTAGGGTCCTTTGTCCTCTGAGACTCTGGTTTCCCCACTTTCATTCCTGAGATTGTCCTTCCTTTCTTTGTTTCTTTCTTGTTTCTCTCTTTATTCTTTCTCTATGTTTCTTGTTTCCTTCTTTTCTTCTTTTTTTGTTTATTCTTTCTTTCTCTCTGTTTCTTTTTCCTTCCTTCCTTGCTTCCTTGCTTCCTTTTCTTTCTTTCTCATATAGTGTTATCCCCCTTCTAGGAGCCTGTTCACCTTGCAGCACTGGACATGGTAGATTTCAAGACATGGCAGAGACATATAAAGGCTGTGGCCCTGACACCCTCAACCTTCCTGGAATGTGCATACTGTAGAATGGTGCTATGATCATTATTCTGATTTGTAAATAAAGAAGCTGAGGCTCAGAAAGGATGGTAACTCAACCAAGCCCACACCAAGTATCCCAAGTAGAGGAGGGGAGTAAAACCCCATACCGGACCCAGATCTACTGAGTCTTTGCTTATAATCACCCTGAGCTTTCACTCATTCATTCATTTATTCATTTTCAGACGAAGTTACTAGTAAGAGGATTATGGCTGGGACATCAGATCCCATAGATACTGCTTTTTGTCTCTGTAGGGTTCCCCTCCATTTCTAGGCAGATTTTGTGGGTGTGTGATCAAGAGTCTAGCCTAAATCACAATCGCCAGCTGACATCAACACTTCCTCCTCCCCACTCCTAGGCTCTGTCCGCTTTTTACCCCCACCACTGCACCCTCCTTCCATCCTTCTCCCATCTTCCCTCCTCCTCAGGGCTCCACCCAGCCACCAGTGAAAAGCAGGGGGTGCACTTGGGTAGGGAAACTCCTCATGGCTCAGGCATGTGTGGCTCTCAAAAACTTTGTCCAAAGGTTTATTTTTGTTTGTTCACTTGTTTTTTTCTTCTCTCTCTGTATCACAGGCTAACCTCAGACTTAAAAATCTTCCTGTCTCAGCCTCTTAGGTGTGGCATCACAGGAAGGCCCCCCAACACCCAACAGCACCAAAAAGTTCTAATATGTATGGCTTGAGCCTTGTCAGTGTTCTCCTAAAGAGATGTGGTTAGCCTGACTAGGAAGTGGCATTCGGCCTGTGCTCTTTCTGCTCCACCCTAGAGCCCCCTTCACCACAGGGCCATTTCTTTTTCATCCATTTAGCACCACCCCAGCTCATGCTCACACACCCTGACCCCTGGATGCACCATGAGGAAAGGTGAGCCTCCTCCTCTCCTAAGAGCAGGAATCCTGGGAAGGGTTTAGAGTCACATCCTTGGGTCCCCTCCCCTGTGGCTAAAACAAGTGCTCAGAAAGGGTTCCCACTAGCTGGGAGTCTTGGGGTGCTAGTCCCCAACCCAGAGCTTGCTGAAGCACCAAACCTTAAGGCGGTAGGAAAGCTTGAGATTTGCTTCCCTCCCTGCCTTTGTCTTCTCAGCCCTCCAGGTGAAATGAGCAGGTGTTTTCTACATCTTTACACCTGCAGCCCCACCCCGGCCCTCTTCTAGGGCAGCTCAGCAGCGGCAAGAAGTGGAGCAGCAGCCTGCCCACCTAGAGATCCAGTGAGTGGACAGTACCCAGTTGGTTGCAATCTTTTTGATCTGCTGACCATCTGATAAAAAAAAAAAAAAAACCCTCTGGTTTTTGTCCACTATCAGCCAGGAACCAGAGACCCTAGAGCCCAACTTTCAGCAACCACTTTCATGAGGTACTGACCACTTAGACTGCCTTGGAGGTCAGAGCCCCCCCTCCCCTTCCCTAGAGGGGTATACGTGTGTGTGTGTGTGTGTGTGTGTGTGTGTTGGTACTGAGGTTTGAACTCTGAGCCTCCTGCTCTTCCTGTTTCATTCAAGGCTGGTTTCCTACCAGTTGAGCCACTTCTGGCTTTTTGTTAGTTAACTAGAGATAAGAAAGAGTCTCCTATATTTGTCTGTCCTGGTTGGCTTTGAATCTTGATCTTCAGAGTTCAGCCTCCTCAGTAGCTAGGATTACAGGTATGAGTCAGCAGGACCTAGGTCAAGTATTAGATTTTGTCAAAGGCTTTTTCTTCATCTATGAGATAATGATCATGTGACTGGTTCTTTAGTTTATTAACCTGCTGTTTATGTTGAACCATCCTTGCCTTCCTGGAATAAAACCAAACCAACTTGATGATGGTATATGATTTTTCAATGTGTTGTTGAATTCACGTTGCAAGAATTTGCATCTATGTTTATCAAAGGAATTTGTCTATAATTGTGTGTGTGTGTGTGTGTGTGTGTGTGTGAGAGAGAGAGAGAGAGAGAGAGAGAGAGAGAGAGAGATCAGTGATCCATGCTACTATTGTTCCTTCTTCTGAGTATGCCACCCATCAGCTTACTCCCTCTCCCTGAACCTATTTTTCACCAAGGTATAAAGTGATATAGAGATATTGTACCCATCTTAAGTGTTCAGCTATTTACATTTGACAGGCTTACATGATGTTACTACTACCCCCTTGGTGCTCCCTGCTGGGTAGGGTTTGTAAGAGGACTGGGAGGCCTTCCTAGTTCTTAGAGCCCAGCTGCATTTCTGTGACCTGAGAGCTACACTAGGCTCTGGGCTCCTTTCTCCCATTCTGTGGGGGAGCCTAAGGCTGTGGGGCTTCCAATGGTTCCTGATTTCCTAGAGTCTTACATTTTTACCTGGAAGAGGTCTGTTATGAGAACCATGACAAGCTAGTGTGGATGGTGCCCTGGAGACTGAGGGTCACATTGAACATCCAAGTGTCTGAGGGACCTCAAGGCTGGGTTTGATTCCCCAGGAGTGGGCAAGGAGGAAGCATGGGTCCAGCAGAGAAGCAGGCAGGCAACATGGGCTAGGTCAGGCCACTGTAGCTAGTCTCACCCATCTCCTGGAAAAGA